GACCCGTCCACCACCACTCTCTGGGTGTGGCCCTCCAGCCGGATGGCAACCCATTTAACTGTGTAGGTGTCGACGCCACAGTTGCCTAATTTTTTAATGAGAATGGGGTGAGAGACAGTGTTGAAGGCCTTCCTAAAGTCCAGAAAGACTACTTCCACTGCTGCCCCTGCATCTAAGGATTTGGTGACCTGGTCGTAGAAGGCCACCAGGCTGGTCTGACAGGACCTGCCACTAATGAACCCGTGTTGGTTGCCCCTAAGCATGATCTCCCCTGCTGGCCCCTCGTGGACATGCACCAGGATAATTCTCTCAAAAAGCTTACCCAGGATCGAGGTAAGATTGACTGGCTTATAGTTTCCTGGGTCCTCCTTCCTCCCTTTTTTGAAAATGGTAACCACATTGGCCTTTTTCCAGTCCTCTGGAATCACACCAGAGCACCATGAGTGCTCGTACAGCCGTGCCAGGGGTCCCGCAATGACCTCTGCTAATTCCCTTAGTACTCTGGGGTGGAGATTGTCAGGACCTCCTGATTTATAGATATTACCCAAGTCTGTGTCCAGTATTTTTTGCAAAAATCTTTTTGGTTTAAGAAAAGATATCATCTCTACTATGAGTCCTGATTGTTAATTTATAATGCAGTGATCAGCAAACACTGTGTATTACAATATGCAAATAATTTAACAGGAGGATTTGAAACCTACAGCATTGTGTTGTCTACCTATAGATCTTAATTTAGGTATTCTTTGCATATATATATTTGTCTGTGTAGTACTTGGAGAGATGTGGAAATTCATTAATGCAGTAAGGACCTGTACCTCTAATGCTTGAAGTCAATGGGGTTAAGCCATTGGCTTCAGTAGAAGCCAGATCAGACCCTAACACAGTCGGTCAATTCTCACTTACACAAAGTATTACAGAAAAATGGCTCAGTCTGTAAATCTTTTTTGTGTGATTATGGATTGTGCGAGGATCCCGTGACCCAGACTAAGAATGAAGCTAACACTTTAGTCTTAAAATACCCACACAGTATAACTTATTATGCATTTGCTATCACAAGTTTTGAAAGATTTTTGAACAACTTGGGCACCTAAATTTCATGAATAATAAATAGAAGTCGGGCATGTAACTGTCAAGGCTCTTTGGAAATAGCAGCCCCAGTGGCAGAGCACCAGGAACTCTTTGGCATATTAGACTTCCCATGGTTGGGTATGAGGCTGTGGGCTCTGGATGGTACAGTTAAAAATGCTAGCTTATATATAAGTTCATAGTTAGTAGGGTCGGAAGGGACCTGAGCAGATCATCAAGTCTGACCCCCTGCCATGGCAGGAAAGAGTACTGGAGTCAAACAACTTGATGAACCAGAGCATTAATGCAGTAAGGACCTGCAGTAAGGACCTGAACCTCTAATGCTTGAAGTCAATGGGCGTTTATACATGTGATCCAGGAGCAAGCCGGGGAGGAGGCACTTTAATTAGAGTGGCTCCGATAGTGGCTTCATTCTTATTCTGGGCATTTCCTGCATTTTCAGCTCAGGGGCACCGATACACATGATGCTCCAGTTTCTTGAATTAGAGTGGCTCCAATCCAACAAAGCTTAGGTATGCTGATACATGTGATGCTGGAATCTGCTGGAGCACAGTAATTACCATGCTCCAGCAGACACAATTAATCGAGTCTGCTCCAATGCGTTGTAGTTACAGCGTGTTGGAGCAGCCTCCCTGCACGTGCCCAATGGGGTTTAACCACTGACTTCAGTAGAAGCCAGATTAGATCCTAACACCGATGATCGATTCTCACGTACACAAAGTATTATGGAAAAATGGCTCAGTCTGTAAATATTTGTTGAGTGATTATGCATTGTGTGAGGATCCCGTGACCCAGAATAAGAATGAAATTAGCACTTTGGTCTTAAAATACCCACACAGTATAACTTCTTATGCACTTGCAATCACATCTTTAAAAATACACTTCAGTAAGTTCAGGACAGACTGTAGCCTTTTCTTTGTCCCAGTGTGCTAACTTGCATATTACTTTTAAGGGGTCTTCAGCAATTGATAATCCGTTGATGTCATTAACAGACGTGACTTTGTTTTTCTTCACTAACAAGCTAACTTTTTGCACAATAGTAATTTTGTTCTCTAACCCCACTGTCATGGATCCAGTGTTTAAGGTGTGAATCCTGTTGTCCTCATAAAAGGTGTATTTTGTTCCTCTGCCGTTACAAAGAGGTTAATAAAAGTATCAAGTTCAGTTTCTGATGCCTAAAGCTTTCTCTAATAGGAACACGATGTGTAGGAAATACCAGAGCTGAGACTAAAATCAACAGTGATTCTCATCTTTGCTTTGGAAAGGACCAAGCAGTATTGTTCTTTGGTTCCCATGCATATAAACTTTCTAATTCAGGGGTGGGCAATTATTTGGGCTGGAAGGCCACTTAGGTAGTTTTGGTGAGCTGTTGTGAGCTGGGTCAGCCCCCCCACATCTCCCACGCTGGACTGGGTCAGCACCTCTGCTCCCAGCCCTCCATCAGCTCACAAAAACTCCCTAAGTGACTCTGGCCTGCACTCAGCCGGGCAGATGGGATGGGGTGTGGGGAGGCTGGTAGCGGCATCTGGGAGCAGGGTGGGTGAGCAGGGCTGGGATCAAGATCTTGGGGCTACCGCAATCTGTTCCCTGCACTCCCCTGCCTGCAGAACCAGTGTCTGTCACAGGGACATGTGGGTAGTGGACTGTGGCTGTGCCCCAGGCCCTGGCCCAATGCTGTCATCACCCCACAATCCTGAACTTGGCCCCGGCCTGGGCTGCTCATCCCGCTCCTGGATGCTGCTCCCTGCCTGCCCATGGCTCCATCCCATCTGCCCAGTCAAGCATGCCCTGCTTGCATAGGTCCTGGGTGGGCTTCCAGGAAACCCCACTTGCCAGCTCTGTCCAATGCCCCCAGCAGTGGGTGCAAGGTGGACGGGCTGGGGTGCCCAGGGCAGCAAGGCCAGGTCCAGCAGCAGCAGTGGAGACTGGCAATGGCAGCTGAAAGGAGCTGTTGGAGCTGCTTGGGTGGGGCCTCGGGACCGACTGCAGGCCAGATAAAATCCCGGGGCGGGCTGGATCCAGTCTGCAGGCCATGTTTTGCCCATCCCTGTTCTAAATTCAGTCAGAGCGTATGTTCCTTTCCCAAGTAACACTGCTCAGTAGAAAACAAAATCCACACCAAAATGTTCATTTTTTTCAAATGAGCTAACTGTTGTTTTCAATTTCCTTTTCTAGAGTGCTACTTTGTTACGACTTTACTCTCCCTGTCAAAGTTTCTTGTATTATAATTGTCCCCAACAGATAGCCTTTGTTGGCTTTCTGGATAATTTCAATCTTTTAGTTTAATGTGCAAAAAGGATTATAGAAGTCACGTTGTGGCAGCCTGTGTTTGCTGATATAATGCTTCCATTTGTTCTGCATCCCTTACTAGATCTTAAAACATTTCAGAAGCCTAACCTAGCATTTCTCCAGCTTTGGTACATTGTCCTCATAAAAGTTTGCATTCCCCTGCAGAGACATGTGCTGAAATTGTTGCATTCCAAAAGCGAGGTGGTCCGACAGTACATGGCAAGGCTTATCAATGCTTTTGCCTCTCTGGCAGAAGGTAAGAGATCAGTTGCAGATTGGAAGTTCCCTTCACGTATTGGGTACTTAACATTGCGCGTAGAAATGTGCGTACCCTATTTCTAAATACCCTCTGTCCTTTAACGTGTGTATGCACGGTGGGGAGCTGTAAGCATTTGTAGAATAGCCACTGGGGCTATTTATTGCAGCTTATGTCAGAATATATTGACTGCTTCCACTTTTCTAGGTAGTGGTTCACAACAAACAGTTGCCAGTATTTTTTCTAATGTCTATGCCAAGCACTGTAATTGAGCGTTTGGTCCTCCCACAAGAGCAATGAAAGATACCTTTGAGCCCTGGTATCTGAGTAGCTTGCAGAACCACAGTTAATCCCTTATATGTTGCATCAGTAATGCTTTGAATATATAATTTAAATTAACTAAGCCAAAAAAGGCCCCACTGATCAAAGGCTACTTCAGAGAGTTCCAGCTGTTGGACAGCACCAATAACTCAGACTTCTGTGACTGGTACTCAGTCTCCTTCCTTAACGAGTCTCTGAACATTATTGCAGCCTCTTTGGTTGCTTGACCAACTTGTCTGCCATGAAACATTGTCTGTTTTAATCTTAGTTTCTCTGGGATTTTCAAAAGACTTGGGCACCTACATTGCATGAATATTAAATAGTAGCTGAGCATCTACCTGTCAGGGCTCTTTGGAAATAGCAGCCCCGGTGGCAGAGAGAGCAGCAGGAACTTGGGCATGTTAAACTTCCCGTGGCTGAACGAGGCTGTGGGCTCTGGTTGGTACAGCTTGATGAACTGCAGCATTTGGTCTGAATGCCTAGAGGCCACTGATCCATTGAAGGCAACATGTCTGTGAGGAATTACTAGGAATTATGTCTTGCTGGGGGAAACGGTGGTGGGGGACGACTGAGCTTGTGCCATCTTTCTTTTCCGAGGGGCGGGATACTTTCTGTCATAGTCTGATATCTGAGCATCATTCCTTTCATCGCTCTTTGCACCAGGTCGGCTTTACCTTGCCCAGAACCCAAAGTTGCTGCGAATGCTGGAGGAAAGGCTGAAAGCCGAAGACAAGGATTCCCTTACACGGGAGAACGTTCTGGGGGCTTTGCAGAAATTCAGCCTCAGGTGATGACAGTGCTTCAGACAGTGGTGACAGCAGGAAAGGAAGTGTGGGCTAGTTAAGCTCTGTTCAGGGAGGAAAGAAGAGCACTTGATTACTGTACAACAGTCATCAGAACCTGTGATGGCTGATGAAAGAAGTGTCATTTAGAACTGGGGGAGGACTCAGCTTTGCTGGCTGAGTCGATCTCATTTCTTAGCACTTGGCATGCTCAAGGCAATTGATACATATTAGTATTTCCTTTATGTATGTTAATATGTATTTTTAATTGTATTTCCATGCTGAAAATATACCCCGTCCTTGAAAATCCTAAAAATTCTGCCTGGGGGCACGAAACATTGTGCATCCCCACACAGGCTGAGTTTCTATTCAGTTATCTATGAGAGACTGGAAACAAGGTTTGCCCTGTCTGTGGAAAACTATTGTGAAGTCCATCGGTTGATCCTCTGAATCCAGAGCCACACAAGCAGATGCTATTGCTCTCTGGCTTCTGTGTTAGCATCACTTACCCTAGATGTACTCCCAGGAACTGCTAGAGAAGGCTCCCTCTGAGTCCCTGAGGAAGGCAGATAATGTCCCATCCTCCTGGGTCAGGTGCCCTGAATCTCTGTCCCTTCAGAAACACTCATTCCTGTATAATTACAAGGGGTGTATAGATATGAATATATGCACCTAGTTCTTCTATAGCACTTTGCATCAATTTCCCTCTTAATTAAGATCGACAGCATGCCTTTGGGAAATCTGAGGCTTTTTTATATATACCCATCTCATTTGAAACCTGAGTCAAGAAAACACATTCAAACGCAGCCTAAAAAAGTGGATCTATACCGCTCCCCTTTCTTGGGGGGAACAAGCCCAAATATATTTTCTTGCACTCTCAAATTTCTACGTGTGCTTCAGTGCACTGAATCCTCCCCCACCAAAAATGTCAAGATGTTCATCCTAGGAGAAAGGGGACTTTCTCTAAGCAGTTGTGAAGAGTGCAGGGCAGTCATCTGATCTTTTGAGGATAGGCATATTATTGTGCAATATGCTCTAAAAATAGTCGTATACATCCATGGGTGGGTCTAGGATTTTGAAAAGTGGGGTGCAGATGGTGTGGCACATCATTACAGAATGCAACAAATATTTTTCTCCAGTTAAAGAGAAATTAGAAGCTTTACCAATATGCTAGAGGCCTAACACTACATTATTAAGTTTAAGGTCAAAGCAAAAACAAATCCAACTTTATTGAAATGCACACTGATTTCTTAAGACTGCATATAAAGTTTAAGAACCACAAAGTAGACAAAAAAATAATCAAAAGAAAATGGCTTCATTGTTCTTGTAGTCCTTGTAGTTAAATATGCATTTCTTACTCAGTTTCATAAAACAAAATCTAGTGTTTTTAAGCCTCTTAACAGTGCCTCTAATACTTCAGTGTCAGTCATTTCTACACCTAAGTTAATATTTACCACACCTGAGTTAAAGATTTTAGCTAGAGCTAAAAACAGTCTGCAGGACTATGAAATAGAAGAGAGATATTACCAGGAATGGCTAACAAACAGCAAAATTGCAGCAAAAAGGATAGTTTGAATAGTGGAACATCAAGACTGTTAAAAAGGGAAGAGGCTTCATTAACACCTGTGAAGTGAAGAGCTATTAGCAGGAGTCAGGGAAGTGATGATGGGTCATGAAGTCAATTGACTCCATTAGGACTGCCTGAATAGAAAGGCCACTGCTTCTCCCAGGTAGTTGGTTTTAGAGTTTGGGTGGAGCAGGTATCGAAGGGAAGGAGGTACAACCCCCTGTGGAGCTATCTCTGTGTACAAACATACATTAAAAAAATTAAAAGGAAGCCCCTCATAGTTAATCATATGAAGAGACAGCTCCAGTTGCTCAACATGAAGATATGTTAATAGGATCAAACATTCGCATTATTTTCTTTCAAACCATGCCTCAAACTTCAGGTGGTAATTAGGTGAGTGTGGCAAGCTGGAGGGGTCTCTGGATTAATTTCCAGCCCTTTTAACACTAAAGGATATGCCTCTTTTTTGTTAGTTAAGGTTTCATGTTTTGGTCTGTGTGAGACAAATTGCCATCTAGATCAGATGGGCCAGAAAAGGGTTCTTCACTACAAGTTGCATGCCGGCAAACAGCTTTCTGAAGTAAGCTGGATTTGAGCACCAGAGAAAAGGGACTCTGCAGCCCGGGTTGAGTGTCAGGTGAATGACATGCCTTCGTCAGTGCACAGACTTCTTTATCGTAGTGGCTCACTGGCTGCTTATATTTGCAAATCCATTCATAGCATCTGAGGAAGTAGACTGCCTACAAAACTCTCGCCTCTTGAAATAAGTTAGTCTACCACGCTGCTCTGCCTTCTACCCACTTACAGTTAGGCGGGCCTTTAAATATCTAGTGTAATACTATAAAGGGGTGACTGTGTGGGATTTAAGGAAAAAAGAGATGTTAGTCTGAAGGCAAGTTGAAGGCAGGGTAGATTTGCACTTTATAGACTAACCAAAATAGGTGTGTGTGTATGTGTGCATGTGTAGCACAGGCTTTTATAAGATAACCAATCTTTCCAGAAAAAAGCAAACAGATTTAAGTAGAAGTTTTATTGCTGAAGTAATAACTAAATAGTTTTATTGGCCTTTTATGCTCAACATTTTGTTTAAAAAATTGCAGATAGGAAGCGAGAAGTGCTGTTTGACTGGAGACTTTGGAAAGCTGATGGAGAAATTTTTCTTGTCAGCCCAATTATACAGTAACTACATGACTGAAAAAAGCAAAATTTTAGTCTTTTTCACCCTCCGGTGAAACCCTCTTCTCACTTCTATTTTATTAATGCTCTCTTTCATTGGCTCTGCCAAATGGGTAATTTACTTTTGTCAGTAAATAGAAGTGATGTTTTATTGTACTCGTGTTTGATGCAAATGTATCAAGTATAATATGTACTTCCTTTTCCCCCCCCATCTTAGACGTGCTTTGCAGTCGGCCATGATCAGGGATGGGCTCATTTTCTGGCTGGTTGATGTCCTGAAGGATACAGATTGCCTGTCAGATTACACGCTGGAGTATTCTGTCGCCTTGCTCATGAATCTTTGTCTCAGGAGTGCAGGTCTGTTGCATTAACATTGTTGTTATCTTCTGAGGAATGCATACGAAAAGATCAATCCCCGCCACCACCACCCAAATCCCTCGCACACGTGTTCCTGAGGTCCTTCCGGGGGGTTTTACTTTACATCTATTTTTCCCTGTATGAAATGATACTCCCCACAACAATACCTGAACAGCATAAGCCATCTCTTTAAGGAAGCCTCCTTACCAGTTTGCTCTGATACCTTGAAGGCATTGAACTTTTCTTCTTCATGGAGTTTAGCTTGATTATTAAAATAAATTAAGCATAAAACACACTGCTCAGTTCAGTCCTCCTGAGGCTTGACTGTTCCTAGGGTTCCCCCCTAATACTCTGCCCACACATTACATCCTCTCTGCAAAGAGCATCACCCTTTCTCCTGTATGTATGTATGTGTGTGTGTGTGTATATATGTGTGTGTGTGCAGCAGATCCTTCCCAACAGGACTTGTGCCTTCTAAATAGAGTGGGGCACTTCTCACATATGCTGCTAGCTGGCTGCACCATTTTTATGAACTACCTGATTTCCGATTGGTTCAGGCAAGTAGTGCATGACCCTTTATAAAATCCAGAAACAAGCAGATGAGTAGTAGTATAGGGACCAGTTCTCCATTCAGAGAATCAGACCTGGAGCAGGCAGCAGTCTTTTTTACTACATAGCAATCCCTGTGACAAGAAAATGAGATAGATCATGCCCTGAGGTCTTAAAATCCTTTACTTTAAAGGAAAAACCCCCAGAAAACAACACAGTAGTATTGTAACATAGTCAAAATAATGACTTTGTTAAACTGTCAATGGATTAATGTCTCAGAGTTTAAAAGTAAATTTTTGGACTTCATTCTGCTTTGGTATATAAATCCATTGACTTCAACAAAGTCATTCTGGGAGCAGAATTTGCCTGGGATGGGAAGCAGTCTCCACTGCACGGATACATTTTAAGAAACAAATGAAAGGGTAGGTCATTTCCTGGTGGTTGTATGTCTGCAAAAATAATGTCCTTTGTGCTTGCACAGGGAAGAAAATGTGTGCAAAAATTGCAGACCATGTGCTCAAAGTCCTCTCAGATCTCCTTGGCCACGAAAACCATGAGGTATTTGTGTTATGTATCATTGATTCATCCATCTGTGGGGTGTGACGCATGTTTAACTGTACATAGCAAGACAAGGCAATGATTCAAATCAGAAGGAACTAAAGACAACTACTCAATCCAGCTGAAGCTCTAGGGCAGTCATTCTCAACCAAGGTGCCCCAGCAACCTGGAGTGCCTTGAGATCCTTTCAAGGGTGTTGATACCATGCATTGTCAGCACCATTAGATATGCAAGCACAATTCACAAGATAAATCGAGAGGTTTCGTATAAGAATCTATAGTATTAAAAACCTCCTGTCCCGTCTTTCTGAGTTCTTTGCCACAGAAAAATTGCTCTAATATTTTTCTGTAGTCAAAAAATGGAAGAAAGCCAAGAGCTGGCGTTTTCCAAAGGGTGCCTTGAGTCTACACAAGTTGAGAACCACTGCTCTAGGGGGATTGTGAAGAGACAGATTGTAAATTAGCAGAGTTCGAATTTTGGTAAGGACAGCAGGCTCAGGCCTTAATTTTTGTGTGGTATGATTTGGGACTTTAAATACATCCAGATAGCTGGGACCTTAGTTTTATATCATTTTGTAATGTTTTATGCATCTCTTCATTTTATTTCATGCTTTAGGCTGAAAGTAGAGACCAGTCTTCCAAAAGCTTATGAGGTTTTCCTTGTTTTATGAATGTATTGTATGACGTAGGTCAGGGGTTGTCAACTGGGGGTACGTGTACCCCTAGGGGTACTTGGAAAAATCCTAGGGGGTACACGTGGGTGGGCAAGGACGGAGCGCTGCCACCCACCACCCCACGCTACCGCCTTCCAGGAGCAAGGCGAGGGCAGCAGCACCCATCCGTGGGCCGCACAGGCACTGCCTGGCCAGCGGGACTCAGGGGGGATGGAGCGGGGGTTGGAGCTTGCACGTGACGACCACTGCCTTCATCCACTACTCTGCATTGCCGCCACACACTGCTTTCCCACGGCCGGTCACATGTGGCTCTGCGGGCTGCTGGCGGGCCGTGTGTGATTGGCTGGGTGTGAGGCCCGTCAGCAGCTCGTGGAGCCACACATGCGACTGGACGTGGGAAAGTGGGACGTGGCAGCAGCGGCGGTATGGGGTGCTGGGTGGCGACAGTGGCAGCCACCGCGTGCAAGCCCCCACCCCCCTCTGCATCTGGCCGCTGCCCCTGCCACCAGAAGGGGTGCACTTTTTAAAAAAGGTTGAAAACCCGTGATGTAGGTTATCCATTCTTTGCAATACAGTATTTTACTTAAGAGAAATCTTGTGGGGGCTTTGAATCAAGGTGTTAACCTTGATTTTGGGAATAGGGTGATTTTGGGGGTGGTTTATACAATGCACGTTGGTCTGGATCAGCACCTCTATCTCAGGATCCTGTTCTGCACAGTCTACCGTTGCAACCCGTGGAAGTTTTCCTAGTGAAGCCCAGGGCTATGATTGCTCTAGTGACCTTCAGAAAGCTCGTGTCTGTTAAAACTGTAACTGTGCAAACAACCAACTGTGAAGCCCTGTTTGCTGTCAACAAGATATAAAGGACGAGTTATAAGCCCTATTATACTTAGGGGAGAACTCAACACTTGAAACAGAAAAGATTTGTAGCAAAAAACAGACAGCTTGAATTCACAGGAAGCTGTGGAATCCATGAATAGCCGAAGGTCCTGCCCCCTTCTCCCAGTCTGGCTTCCTGATCACCTTCCAGTAACCACCGGACAGGTCAGGAAAAAGACTTGACAAGAGTTTCTAGAAGCTCTGAGAGCATTCTTTGTGTGTGTGGGTTGCAGGCATCCAAATCTGTGAGCAAGGTCCAGTAATTTATTCCTGAGACTCACTTATTGGCAGTTGGGTAGAATTCAAGAGCCGGAATTATTCTGAATGGCCTGCCCGTGACATTTCCTTCTTTCTCAGATACAGCCATATGTGAATGGAGCACTGTACAGCATTCTAGCTATCCCTTCCATACGAGAAGAAGCCAGAGCAATGGTAAGAAGCAGTGGGTTGTATAGAAAAAAGAAAGGCGGTTTAAGTTACAAAATGGCACGTTTCCGTAGACAGGCAAAGTTCTTTGGGTAAATCTGATATCTTTTATTAGACCAACTCATGTAGTTGGAAAAATTGTCTTTGCAAGCTTCTGGGCATAAACACCCTTCTTGAGGCTGAGGAAGTGTCTGCCGATGGTCTGTGCTCTTTCTGGATGGAGTGGTAAAGAAATGTTTCAGAGTGCTGCAGCGCCTCAAACAATGCCATGGTTATAGTTTCATAGGTTCTAGGGTCAGAAGGGACCTGAGCAGATCATCTAGTCTGACCCTCTGCCATGGCAGGAAAGAGTATTGGGGTCAAACGACCCCAGCAAGGTGTTCATCTAACCTCCTCTTAAAAACCCCCAGGGTAGGAGCCTGCACCACTTCTCTTGGAAGTTGGTTCCAGACCCTAGCCGCCCTGACC